TAGGATAAGAATGTTTTAGTTTTATGAGGCATATCTCTTAAATGATAGTGCTGAACAAGTGGAATGACTTGATATCTAATCATCCTCTATTCTTTCTAGTAGGGAAAGAAGATTGGGGGAATAAGAGGTATATAGGTCATAACCCAGTGGTTCATGTCAGCAATTCTTCCTATTCAAGGAGCTGAGAACAGGAGGATTGTGGTTCAAAGCTGGTCTGTGCAGAAAAATCAGTGATAGAAACCAGCAATAAGCAGGGCTAGAAGCATGGCACAAGTGGTAGAATACCAGCCAAGTATGCAAATCCTGCATATGTGAGGCACTGAATATAAAACTTGGTGTCAGAAAAAGAAAAAAGATATATGGGGACACATTTTTACCTATCCATACATGCTTAAGATTATAACTTTATTATTTATAATGTAAGAATATAAATTTGTTTCAATACCTATTAAAAGAGAAGAGAAAGACAATGTGATGTGCTTTGATAGCAAAGTGCTTAAATCCACAAGGTTTGTTTTTTTTTAATTACTGTACAGGTGATGTACAGAGTGGTTACAGCTACCGAAAAAGGTAACGAGTACGCGTCTTTTTTAATTAGTATCAAATATAAGCTCATACTTACTGTAAAAACTCAGACAAGTTTGCTTATTTCACGATCTTTGTATAGGAAATAGTTATTAAAGAATCCAGAGGTGGGTGGAACATTTAATAAAACAAAATACTAAGCTAATAGGTTTTAATAAAATGAACACTTTTAATTCTTTTTATAATAAGAGATTTCTAACATAATGACTCCTTCTGCTCATTTTTCTTCCATACTAAATGCGGACTGCCTATTGTTCTCTAAAGATGCTAAAACTAGCGAGGGGATACTAAGACTAGCCAGCATTCATCTTTGCTTTGGTGTGTTGAGGCCAGAATAAAACAACAAAAAATAATGAATTGATGTTGCAATTTTAGATGGAAAAAAGTTCTAAGGAGAAAGGAAAGTAGAGGGATGCTTGGTTGAGAGACAAGGAGGCTGTTCAGAGAAGTAATTCTGAAGGACTACATTTTTAGAATGACTATGAAAGATTATGATACACTCCACACGTAAAATATATACTGTGATGGAGGTTGGTTGAACGGAAACAAGAATTCTTTCTTTTTTTTGGGGGGGGAGGGTCTGGTCGTGGGGCCTGAACTCGGCCTGGGCGCTGTCCTTCAGCTCTTCAGCTCAAGGCTAGCGCTCTACCACTTGAGCCACAGTGCCACTTCTGGCTTTTTTCTTTTTTTTTGCTTATGTGGTGCTGAGGAATCGAACCCAGGGCCTCATGCATGCAAGGCAAGTGCTCTACAGCCCGGAAACAAGAAGAATAGAGAGGTGTTTCGGGATAAATAACATGCAGAGAGGCCAGTAAGCTGGACCAACGTGAGGGGGAGAAATTGAAGATGAGCCTGGGAGGGTACAAATGTAGATGGTTTTGTAGAAAGGAATATGAAATCTCTGGGTGGAGAAGGCAAGAGCTACAGAACATCAGTTTCACTTCATACTTTTATCAGAAGGATTTCATAATACATGCCATCCATCCTTTTTATAATAAATGTACAGAAATCATAACTAATAGAAATCCTGGGCAACAGATTTCAAAATCAATAGGGACACTGCTATGATTGGGAAGCGTTGAGGTGTTAATAGCATTTAGAAGGTAAATACAACTATATTATTCCACTATCTCCCTAAGCAACAAGTAAAAATAAATCACAAAAAGGCCACAAGTGTTGGTGATTTACAGTAATGATATTTATTAAAATCCACCTTTTCAAGTCACTTTCAAGGGAAAATACAGTATTATTGTACTTACAAAATTAAGAAGTACTGGGACCTTCTATCTTTCTTTACATGATACTATACTATAAGATAAACATCTTAAAGCATTTTTAAATTATATCTTTAACTACAGACAAAAGTTAGATATTTTTTTCTGAGAGCTTGTAGGTGAAGAATACAGGCAGGACAAACATTCAGATATTGTTAGGTATGTAAACCCTAGTGACAACTGCGCCTTTGATTCTACATAAAAAAATCTGAGTTTGTGGGAGAAAGAGCTTTTCATAAGGGGAAGAACAAAGAGTTTGGTGACTCATGTCTGCAATCCTAAAGACTTAGAGGACTGAGATATGAAACATATTTGACTGAAGTCAACCAGCACAGAAATGCTCCAGAAACTCTATCTCCAAAATAAGGAATAAAAAACAGGGACAGAAATGTGGCTCAAGTAGTAGAGGATTAGTTGAACAAGGAAACCTAGGGAGTGCAGGCCTCTCAGCTCAACCCTAGTACTGAAAGAGAAAAAGACTTTAGTGTTGTGATAACATCACTTACTGCAGGAGTTCGAATTGATTGCTTGATTATTTGGGACTTTGAAAGTTCCCCCCCCCCCCGTAATATGGCAGTGATATCTTCCTCAGACCAGTATTGTATAAGTACATAGTGCATATAAAAATGATTTTCAAGTTCCCAGAATATGGTATTTACTTATTGATATTACTTTACTCACTATAAAACATGAAGAAGAAAATATCACTTTTAAGTAAGTATAACAAATGAAGCAAAAAAGGAATACTACTCCACAAACAAGCTAGAAAGTGAAAGAAATAAGTATAGAAATAACAATAAGAAATGTGTACTTAGGGCTCTAATAGGTTGTAGAAAAACTCTTGTTATCCTAATTAAGATAAAGGAACTTTAATTCTCCTACGAGAAACTTACAGTGATTATACTGGGAGAAGACACAGATTTGTGATGGTGCTTCTCAGGGAATGGAACCTGAGGGCGTATTTACAATTGACAGTATTATAATTGATTTAGAAGGCATCTTTAATATAAAGATAGCAGAAACTGAGCTTTAGCCGAGCTTTTAGCATGTTATTATTGTATGTTTTTACATTTTTTGAAATAGTTATGTTTTAGCTATGTGTCAGTCCTTAGTCATTAACTCTTGTGTTTAAAGATTATGTATGATGTGTAAATGTTTGTAAACTAGCAGCACACTGGCATTGATTTAATTTTTTAATTTTTTCTCAAGCAGTAAGTGTTACTTGCACTCAATTCCCCAAGTACGCTAGCTGAATTATCCTAGTAAATATTCCAGGAAATAGTGTTGTGGAGGAGACTTTGCAAGAAAGGTGTGTGGTAGTTTTTTGTGCTCTATTTGAGAATATTCCTACATCTTCAATATCATCGACCATGAATTGGGGTTATCACAAATAGGACTCTTCAAGCTCAAATATGTTTGATGCAGTCCAGTTCTCAATTCTTCCTTTGCAATGACAGGGTTAATGTTTTGGAAAAACATTAAAAAAAAAACAAAACTGCAGAAGCTGCTGCTACATCAAAAATCAACTTAGTTACTATTAAAATTATATTTAACAGAGTTTCCATATCCAAGCTTCTGTTTTTCAGTTGGCTATACACAGATGTGGATCTAAAGGAGGAAGTGTGTGACTTTCATTTTGTCTTGATTATTTCATGTTGATTACAAATTATATAGATGGAAAGAATGTGAAATAAAGTGTAATGAAGACCAAGAAAAGAAGGATATAGCAGTTCAATGAATGGGTAAATCAAATTTGGAATTAGAAAGACATTTTCAAATCAGAATTTTTAACTTTATGTGTGTGACTTTTGCCAATTTATTTGACTTCTCTAAGTCTTTTACCTAAAAAGATTATTAATACCTCTCTATTGTTAGAGTACTATGACCATTAAATAAGGATATACATATAAAGTTCTTGTCATTGTTTCTTGAACATAGTAACGAAGTATTATACTTGATCAATTCTACTATGTTTCTTCTTCAACATAATAAGTACCCTAAAATATTAACAGTTGTTACAAGGTAGTAATATTTTTGTTATACATGAGACTTGAACTCAGGGCCTGGGCACTGTTCCTTGGCTCTTTTGCTCAAGGCTAGCACTCTACCACTTTGAACCAAGCTCCACTTCCAGGTTTTGAGTAGTTAATTGCAGATAAGTGTCTCATGAGGGCTTTTCTGTCTGGGTGGGCTTCAGATCTCAGCCTCCTGAGTAGCTAGGATTACAAGCATGAGCCACCATGTCCATCCTGGTTGTAGTTACTGAAAAATAAAATAACTCATCTGTGATGGTTAATATGCTTGGAAAATTCTAACTCAACTCTCTGGCTCAGTCATTCCACAACAGTAAGGAGTATACTTATGGATGAAAATATATATCAATTAATGTGTAACCTATTATGCTAGAATATAATACTTTAGGCTAAACTGAACAGAGCAAAGGGAATACCTTCCCTCAAGAATGATTAAGTGAACGATATAATTTCAGGCCAAACCTTATGAAGAAAACTCTACCTCTTTTCTTTGATTCTGTATGTCCTTATTCTCTATAGCTCATTTTTACTCCTACTTGTTAGTTGGCCCAGTTATATATGAACCCATAATATTAAGTGTGGACTTTATCATGACATAGTAGTTTAAATTTTCTTTTGTCAATAGGCCTAAGGATCAAAAAACCCTTTATAGAATGAACATACTCTATTTTCTAAGCTTCTACTTGTAAACTTTGTGGCAGTTTCATATAACGAGTTTAGTATTTGTTACATAAATACATTTTTATAGTAAGAATCCTAGGGATAGTCACAAGTTTCCTGGCACAACTGAGATATTCTTAGTCTAGAGCAGGCGCAGAGACTTGCTCTCTAAGAGTAAGTAAGAGAGAAAAGTTGGGGATATATCTCCTAGGGGGAAATGCCAATTGTAACAGGGCCTTTGAATGACTGCTGCTGACCTCTGACCCCTCCCCCACCGTCACCGGTAGTAACCAATAGGGATCTGCAGTCCTCTGTTACCAAATTTTGGAACTGCTATCTCAAATATCGTCACTGTTGTTACTAAGGTAACCAAAGTTACTTCAGACTACACAAAGTGCAGTCTGTCTGCAGAAAGACCAGGCTTAATGTGGAAAGGCTAGTGGTCTTAATGGCTGGCCAGCGTAACCGTGTAAAAGTCTATATCAGAGAGGAAGATGAGACATGGGAACCAATAGGTACAGGAGAAATATCCTCCAAGTACATCGAGCGCCTTCAGGGAGTTTGTCTTCTTGTTCACTCCGAAGAAGATGGCTCGCTAATTCTACAGTCCAAGATACGTGGGACTACAAATTATCAGAAGCAAAAGGGACTGCTAATTATCTGGTCCGAATCTGAAGACCATGGTACGGCGCTAAGCTTTCAAGACCCGAAATGTTGTACAGATATCTGGGAGGATATCTGCTTAGTTCAAGGTAAAGATCCATCTCTGGAAAATACACAGGGGTTTTGGGATGATTCAGTAAACAACCATGGAATGCTACCAATCAGTTATCTCCCTGAGCTTCCAACCTGTGAAGTTGCTACCCTGGGTCAAATTGCAGATTTAATTGGTTCTGTTTCCACCTCAAATATCCAAAGGGAAAGACTGGCTCTAATCTTGGAAAGTGAAGATTATATTAAACAACTAATGAAGATCTTTCATACTTGTGAGAATCTTCAGAATACTGAATGCTTACACCATTTATATAACATTATTAAAGGCATCTTATTCTTTAATAAGACTTCACTATTTGACATCATGCTGTCTGATGCATATATTATGGACGTTATAGGGTGCCTGGAATATGATCCCTGTTTGCCTGAGCCAAAAAGGCATAGGGAATTCTTAACCAAAAGTGCGAAGTTTAAGGAAGTTATACCAATAACAGACTCTGAACTAAGACACAAAATACACCAGACATACCTAGTGCAATATATTCATGACATTCTTCTGCCTGTGCCATCAATCTTTGATGAAAACCATCTTTCCACCTTTACAACATTTATTTTTGCCAGAAAGGTTGATATTGTTAACATGCTACAAGAAGACAAAAAGGTTTTATTTGAAGTTTTTGCACAGTTAAAGGATAAGACAACAGATGATGAAAAACGACGTGAACTGTTACTTTTCTTCAAGGAATTCTGTGAATTTTCCCAAGCATTACAGAATCAAAACAAGATTGCACTATTCCAAACATTGATACAACTTGGAATCATACCTGCTCTTAAAATTGTAATTAACATGAAGGATTTTCAAATGAAGTCAATGGCTACAGATATACTTACTTATCTAGTGGACTATAATCCATTCATGGTCCAAAAATGTGTCATGGAGGAAGTTGAAGAAGGAGAAGAGAACGAACTCACCGTTAATATACTAATTCAACAAATGATCCATGATACTGATCCTGAGCTTGGAAATGCCATTAATTTGATGGTACTTCTTCGTTCTTTACTCAACCCAGTGAACATGCTAGTAACGCCTGATGAGTGTGAAAGAATTGAATTTCTGAATTTCTTCTATAGATATTGCATGCATAATTTGATAGCACCACTTTTATGCACCACTTCAGAAGACAAAGATGATCTATTTGAATCTGATGAAAACAAATATTGCCTTAACAATTATCAAACAGCACAGCTGCTCGGTTTAATTTTAGAATTACTAACATTTTGTGCAGAACGTCACACAGACTACATTAAGAACTATATACTGAAGAAAGATTTGCTGAGAAGAGTCTTGATGTTGATGAATTCAAAGCATACTTTTTTGACCTTGGGTGCTGTCCGCTTCATGCGAATGATAATTAGCCTTCAAGATGAACTGTATAATTGTTACATCATCACAGGCAATCTTTTTGAACCAATTGTACAAGCTTTTCTGCTTAATGGTTCCCGATACAATATGTTAAATTCAGCTATTATTGAACTGTTTGAACATATAAGATTGGAAAATATCAAGAGTCTTATTGTGCATGTAGTAGAAAAATTTTACAATGACTTTGAATCAATTGACTATGTCCAGACTTTCAGAGGACTGAAGATAAAATATGAAGAAGAAAAAGAAAGACGAAGCCGAATAAGGAAGAATTTACGTAGTCGACTGTGCAGTCAAGTATTTCTCGAACAAGCTAGAGAAATAAAAGAGAATGAAGAATTGTTTCTTAAGGAAAATACAACCGAAGCAGTTCTGTTACCAATGGAAAACAGCTCTACAGATCATTGTGATGAAACAGCAAATGAAAATGAAAAAGAAAGCAAAGACCTTCCCCAAACTGATGACCTGAGATTATATTTACCTACTTCCGTTGCAGATAACGCTGAAAGGAGTATCCCACAAATGCACGATAATGTTTCAGTGGAAAATGCAGAAGGTAAAGAAGAAAAGGAAGAAGGTGAAATGTCACCCAGTAAAATGCTTCATCTTAGCTCGTAAAACCATTTCAGGCGCCTTAACATCTGGCATAACTGAAATACTGCAAGTATCAACTAGATGAAAAGAATATGCTAAAAGCCTAATACGAACTTCGAACATGTATTGTGATAAGTTGCAAATACAGTGAACTAAGTTTCCATTCTGTAAAAAAAAAAAAAAAAATTGCTTCTCATTGTATATACACAGAATCGAAAATCTAACCAGTTACAGGGGTAATACTCCCACCATGAAAATCTTAGTTTGGAAGTGAGAAATAGCACACAATAATATTTGTGTACTTTTGAGCCAGAGCTATGTATGAGAACTAACTAAAATGATTCTGTTGTAAAACCTATTGTTTATGGTGTAAAGAATCTGGCCTTACTATTCATTCTTTCAGCTGCATTTTTAAGTGAGGCCAATGTTTGAATGGAAAACAATGTCAACTGTAAAAATGTAAAGATCTTAAACACCTCTGTGAAGATGAAGCAATATTGCAATAATTGGAGAATAGCAACTTGTCATGAATAAAAAAGTGGGCTGTCATCAAAAGATATAGTTGTTGGTGTGACTTTTTTAAAGATAAGATATGATAAGCGTCATCTGAGTAGTATGTACAGAAGATTTTCTCTAGGACCATTTTTGTATTTTTGTGAGGAAAAGTACTTTTTTAATTGTGAAAATACTGTACAGAAGGGTTACAATTACATGGGTAAGGTATTGAGTATATTTCTTATGAAGCATTGTTGCCTCCTCCATTCCTTCCTATCTCCTCCCCCACCAACCCCCCACCCCCCACCCAGGTGCACCAAAGTTGTAAAGTTTGTTTTTTGACACAACCTCTTGTACATCTCATTGTTGCAATGGGTCCACCTGTATCACTATTTAAATGACCTGTTTTTTCCCTGCCCCTCAAAATTATACCAACATCAAATACAGTGAAAACAGGTGTTATACCGTGGGGGAGGGACATACAAAGCAACAAAGAAATACCTTATAAATATGTTAGAAACAATAGCAAGAAAGAAAAAACATTTGAATCCTTATCTTGGGGTTCATTTCATCTAACATCAAATTATCTGATCATTTCTGCTTGTCTCAGACATATAGTAGTTATTACACATAAGGGAAACCATGGGACCTATGTTTCTGTGGGCCTGGCTTACTTCACCTAAAATAATTTTTTCCAAGTCTTTCCATTTCCTAACAAATGTGGCAATGTCATTCTTTCTGATGGAGGCATAGAATTCCATTTTGTATATATACCACTTTTTTTCTTGATCCATTCATCTACTGAGGGGCATCTGGGTTGCTTCCATATGTTAGCTATGGTAAATATTGTTGCAATAAACATAGTTGTGCTAGTAGCTTTAGTATGGTCTTGTTTGTAATCATTTGGGTAATTTTAACTGTACATATTATAAATTATTTTCTAAATTATTACTGAAGCTCATCCTCCTTTTAAGAACAGTGAGTTTATCAAAACATATATAAAATAATTATAGGTGCCAAACTGAAACTTAAAACCAGGCATGGCGGCAAATAGCTATATTCCCAGCTACTCTAGAAACAGGTCATGAAGATGAAGATAAATGCTATTTTCCTGGTGATACATGTCTGACATGCAAACTGTGAGGGGAGGCATAGTTAGGAGGATCAAAATCAGAGGTTGACCCAGGAAAAATCATGGAGATTCTATCTAAAAAGTAAGGGGAAATAGGCTGGATTTGTGGTTGAAATGGTAGAGCACCTGTCAAGCACATGTGATATCTAGTGTTCAAACCCAAATACTTCATCAACTGTTTAGTCACTCTTCAAGCTTCCCCTTGTATCTTATAAATATGTTCTTTACAATTCACTGCTTTCTGGGTCTATCTGAAGCACAAAAGAAAATGTTCATGCTAGTGGTACTTCAACCCTTTCATTTTTCTGAAATTCAAGAGAATAAAATTTATGTCTTTTAATTTTACTCATTATAAATAGGTGCAATCACCAGAGACTCCATTGTGCAACTCCGATAATATAGCTTTCTTTACATATTAAAAGATTGTTTCTAAATGAAAAGGAAATCGGCATACAAAACATGAAGTTTTTCTATAAACAAAGGTATAATATGGGAGACACTTTATTAAACAACATATCCCAATGAATTTCTAAGAATTTAGTTTCAATGGAGAATTTAGTTCTATTTGGGGGGGAGAGCAAGATAACTTTCTCTATTTTTCCTAGGCTATTTAAACCAAAAATATCTTCCTTTTATAGAGTTAATGTGAATTTGGGCTATTGTTTAGAAAAGATCTGCAGTCTGTATAGATAAGGAAGTATAATTTTCCAAAAAAGAGATGTAACATTGTGTATACTAGAACACAACTTTTTGTTTGATACCTACTGGTAGCTATATTGAAAATTCAGGAATTAAAATGTGACCCTGCAATTCTAAAAATAAAAAGGGCCATCTTATAATTCTGCCAATAAGAAACACAGTTTCTAGAAAACTGAGATATTTCAGTGTAAGACCTAGAAAAATATTTCTAAAACAGAAAACAATAATTCTATCAGCTGTAATCCTAGCTACTCAGGAGGCTGAGATATGAGGATAGGAGTGAGAAGCTGGCCTTGGCAGAAAAGTCCCTATGAGACTCTTACCTACAATTAACCACTCAAAAACTGGAAGTGGTGCTTTGACTCAAAGGATAGCACTCAAGAATAGAGTGTTACCCTTGAGCAAAAGAAGCTCAGCGAGAGTGTTCAGGCCCTGATTTCAAGTTACACGACTGACAACAAATAAAAATAATTCCATCAGATATAAAGTCTACCAGAGTTGACATGACTTTAGGAGATATAATTGTATATTTTAGAGGATTGAACACAGCAGGAAAACACTTTTCGTACTAGGCTAGTTAAAATGTTTTAATGGTAATACTCATGTTGTGGTTATATACCAAAAAGGCAAGCAAGCAACGCTTTTCTTGGCTAGAATGCTATGGAGACATTCATCTTATATGTATTTAAGCCTTGTGTGGCAGTTGCATCTGTTTTCTAATAAAAGATACTTGAAACTAGATCAAGAAGTTTATTTTGATATTATTTCTCTTTATTCTTTTCCAACCAGCTACTTGAATCTGAAACAAAAAATGGGCACTAGATGAGAAAGAGTATTTACATTTCTTGATGTATTTTCCCCGGAGAGTTTCTAAGGAAAGAATAAAAAGGGAATGGAACTAAAAGATACAGTGGTAAGAAGACACAGTAAAAAAAAAATTCAAAAGTACAGCAATTCTCTGGAGCTGTGAAGCTGTGACCTCTATGAGCTCTTTTCTAGTCTCAGCTACTTAATGTTTGGGGAGCCAGCCTGACAATGTCAAATTGCCCATCATATGGCACAACCTACTATTAAGGGAACATTTAAGAGGGTAACAAAACACACAAGAGCAATCCTTATTATACCACTGAATCAAAATTTGACCAAAACTTTCAATCTTTCTGGCTTTAGTCTGTGGAAAAGATACTGTGTCAAGAATATTTAATTTGTTCAAGTTTCTTGAGAAGTGATAAATTGTTTAAATAGGGATACAGGTGGACCCATTACAACAATGAGATGTACAAGACGTTATGTCGAAAAATGAACTTTACAACTTTGGCAGGGTGTGGGGGGAGGGAGGAGATGGGAGGGAAGGGATGGTAAGGGGAAACAAAGGAGGAGGCAACAATGCTTGATAAGAAATGTACTCATTACCTTGCTCATGTAATTGTAACCCCTCTGTATGGTATTTTCACAATAAAAAACTTAATAATAAAAATAAATAAAAGCAACTTTAAATAGGTTATTAATGATTTGAGCAGAAGACATAGCTGAAATACCCATTGAAATCTGATTAAGTGTTTTGGAGAAGTTCCCTGAACAACTTTAAAACAAATGACTTCTGGTAATTTTTAGAACTCAGTGACATTCTAAGCACCCTAAAAGGGGATGGTAATGTAACAGAGAAAGCACATATTCAGAGAGCCCTTGATGATAATGCAATCTCTGTATGACTCAGTTCCTAGAACTACATCCATGACCTTTCCCTTTCTTTTCCTTTCTTTCGTTTTTTTTTCTTTTCCTTTCCTTTTACCCTTCCTTCCTTTCTCCTTCCTTCCTTCCTCCCTCTCCCCTCCCCCTCCTTCCCTCCTTCCCAACCCTCCCTTCTCCCCCCCCCTCTCTCCTTTGCAAGATTTGGACTCTCAAACTTGGCACCTGACACTTTGATCATTGGCTGGCACACTACCAGCTGCCACATCTCCAACTCGGACTTATTTTTTCAATTAGTCAATTTCTCCATCTTGTCCTAAAAATTATATGCAAGTTACCAATAACATATTCAGTATTCAATAAATCACTTTAAAACTATCAGCGGTAACAAAAATGTAGCCATTCCTAAGAAGATGAAGAATAAAGCCAGCCGCACTCACTTATGTCACCAGTTATGTTCATAAATGGCTAGTCTTATTTTCTAGATCAAATTGTCATAAAATTGATTAGTTCAGTTCTGGTTGGAAAAGCATGTGTTCATGTATTGTGCCTTGTTGAGATACAATTGAAAGAAAAGCATGGAAGTAGAAAAACCATTATAGAGCAAGGAAGACATTTAAGGTGTAATGGTGCCTGGCATATTAACCAAGAAATGAGAGATGGCGGGAATGAAAGGGAACATTGAAAATAAAGATGCAGAAGAAGAGTTGGAGAAGGAATTGAAGATTTATACCACTAAGCTTTATTCTTTCCATGCCTAATCTCAGAAGGTAGAGCCATCAATTACAATCTATCCCTAGATAACATACCAAATATACATTCTCTAAAACAATTGTCAACAAAGCAGAGGACACAAATATAGTTTCTTCAGATCTAAGCCTTTCTGTTTCTATAGTTTGGGTTTGTAATGTTCCCCAATGGCCAATGAGTTAAAGGCTTGCTCTCCATCTTGGTGCTATGGGAAAATTTTAGAGTGGGGGCTAGTAGGAGGAAGTTTGGTCATCAGAGG